GCCCAGCCCTCTCTTCTCCAGCCTTGCCCTCTTCCAGCAGCCCTTCCCCACCTGCTCTTCGGACACCCTCAGCTCCCTCTTTCCCGTGTCAACCCTGTCTGCTCAGGTCTTTCCATCCCTGCCGTCCCACCCCTTTCCCTTGTCGTCTTATTTTGAGGGGTGGGTGGGGTAGGGAAGTGGGTGGTTGAACAAGGGGTAGTGGGTTCCATCCGATAAAGAGCAGTGAGAGGAAACCTAATCGTAGTAGGCCCCTCCTGCTCCTGATCTGGTTTCCCTCCTCCTTGCCCTTCCCTTCTTGCCTGATTCGTTTTGCCCCAGCTTCAGGGAGCCAGTCCCCTTCACCACTGTTGGAGGACAGGTGGGAGAGTCTGCCAGGCTGTGTCTAGGCCAGCATCCTAGAGAAGGGTCTCTGGGATGAAATGGGCTTTGGGAGATGCTGGCCTCCACCCTCCCATAGGGAGCCGTGGGAGCCGTCATCTAGGTCACGGGGCCTCCTGACCTTGGTCTAGAGGAGCACCTCAGTGGTTCACATTCCACCTTCTTGGGGATTGGGCCCTGAGCCTTCACCTTCAGCCAGCTGTCTCCTCAGTCCCTAGAAGAGAGGGTGGGGCAGGCTGCCCGGGTTCCCCTCCTCGGAACCTAGACTGTTAGGAGAAGGGGACTGGGATAGTCAGTAACACCTCATCCTTGGGGTCCTGGGCCCCAGACCTTCCTGGGAGCTGACTGGGATGATGGTACAGACAGAAGCAGGGGCCGACTCCTCTCGCCTCTCCATCCTGTTCTCTTCCCACTGTTGTTATACGACTTAGGTTTCCTGGCATGGATTAGGTTTCTGTTTGGGCAGAATTCCCATTCCCCACCCAGCATGTGAGGAAGCCCAGGGCTCATGAGAACCCTGGGGCAGAGCTGGGTGGGGGTGTCTCTGAAAAGGAAGGACTGAGGCGTGGAGACTAGAAGCGGGGAGCAGCACTCTGTCTCCCCTTTCTGATTAAAGCCTGCCTCCAATTTGGTCTTTCTTTCTGCCAAACATATCATACATTTGTACAGATAAACACACAGCTAAAGATCACACAAGCCGACCGTCCACGGTGTCGGCAAGGCCCCCAGTGCAGAGCTGCTGCTCTTCACAAGATACACACGGTGCGTGGCACGCATCACACCCCGCACATGCGCAAACTGGTCGAAGCCTGTCTAATGCTCGTGCATGTAATGCATGTACACACGATGCGCTCTTTGATTTTTTCCCTGTATGTGACTGGGGCTTTCAAGAAGTTTGTGGAAGGTGAAGACAGCTGCTAAGAGGGTCTGCTTCTGGTCAAGAGTAGGCCAAGAGACTGACAATTGTCACACTGGTTATGTGAACTCAGTTATGGCTCCAGCATCCACTATTACCAAAATGGAACAGATACAGGTCAGCACTCATTTCACTAGGACCCTGAAGCCCCCTTCCTGATAGTAACTCCAAGCAGCTATAGAGACTCCTGGGAGAGGCAGAGAGAAGATTCCTGTTCTATCCCTCACATTGTCTCACGGAAAACCCTAAAACCCAAGCACAGAGAGACTCAAGTGAATTGCTAAGGACCCCTGAGTCACCAGCAACTATGTCTTTTTTTTTTTTTTTTTTTTTTTTGGTTTTTCGAGACAGGGTTTCTCTGTGGCTTTGGAGCCTGTCCTGGAACTACCTCTGTAGACCAGGCTGGTCTCGAACTCACAGAGATCCGCCTGCCTCTGCCTCCCGAGTGCTGGGATTAAAGGCGTGCGCCACCACCACCCAGCCAGCAACTACGTCTTAATGCCCTCCCCTTGGAAAATTCTGAGAGTTCCCAGCAATTCCTAATCTCTTCAGCCCTGGCTGCATTCCAGTGTCTCCCCTCCCTCCCCGGCCATCAGGGTGAAGAGAGAGGACAGCTCAGAGGCACTCCTGTCCTCTTGGCTGGAGACTGCCACTCTGGAAGGCAGGGTGAGCAGACAGGGTTCCCAATCCTACAAGCCATCAGCTCTGCCCTGAAGCCCTGCAGATGCTAACAGGGAGAAAAGGGCTCAGAGGTCTTGAGCACACGCAGACCAGACCGCTTCCTATTCTCTTCCCTGTTCTCCACCAGCAGAACCACCAATCCTCCCGAGTTCTTGTATTCCTGTTAGAAGCTGCTAAATTAGAAATCCAGAGATCCACCAGGTGGAGGTGGTGCACACCTTTAATCCCAGCACTTGGGAGGCAGAGGCAGGAGGATCTCTGGGTTGGAGGTCAGTCTGGTCTACAGAGCAAGCTCCAGGATAACCAGAGGTACTAAGAGAAACCCTGTCTTGAGAAACCATAAAAGGAAAAAAGAAAAACTGGGGGTGTTAGGGTGAAGTGGGGTCCAGAGACAGGAAACTGAGAACATCCATCTCTTGGGACCAAAAGCTGAAATTGGCAGACAGTTGTACCCAGAGTGAGGCCAAAAGGACTCAGGAACCCTAGAACCTCTGATGCTTTGGGACTGCCTGTAAGTGGCTTTTGACAGTTGACCTCATTGAAGGAGATAGGCCAAGGTAACAGGTGAGCTTTCTTGATGGTATAGTGAACAAGAGTGAGAGTCTAACTTCCATGATGTGCCTTGGACAGACCACTTCTACTTCTTGTGAGATGGGAGCAGTATGGCCAGCATGGCCTTCAGGTCCCTTCCAAGGCTATGAAGATTGGTCTGGAAAGAACCAGAAAACTGAGGCTCCGAGCCTTAAGCATGTTGAGGCCTGAGGAGGAGGGCTCAGTGGTGTGGGGAAGGGAGATGGTAGATGAGTTTGCTCTGGTCCCTAGTCACTCTGCCCAACATCCACAGATGGACCCTGTACAGAAGGCTGTGCTCTCACACACGTTTGGAGGACCCTTGCTCAAGACCAAGAGGCCAGTCATTTCCTGTAATGTCTGTCAAATCCGATTCAATTCTCAGGTGAGTAGGGCGGGGCAGCCATGGGAACTTGAGGGAGGGGCAGTGACTAAGGGAGCCTTGAGAAAGAAGGAAGAATGGGGACCCTGTGGTGGAAGACACTTAAGACAATAGGTTGCTATGTTTCGGTTGCTTTTTTTTAAAAAAAAAAAAAAAAGTTTATTTTTATTTTACGTGCACTGGTGTTTTGCCTGCATGCATGTCTGTGTGAGGGTAACAGATCCCCTGGAACTGGAGTTGTGAGCTGCCATGTGGGTGCTTTAGAAAAGCAGTTAGTCCTCTTAACCACTGAGCAGACTCTCCAGCCCCCTTGGTGTGTGTGTGTGTGTGTGTGTGGTGATAGGGATTGAATTTAGGGCCTCACACATAGTAGGCAAGTGCTATACCACTGAACTGTGTCCTCAACCCCCCTCCTTTTTTTTTTTAATACAAGGTTCCTTTGTGCATTCTTAGAACTTGCTCTGTAGACCAGGCTGGCCTCAAACTCACAGAGATCTACCTGTCTCTGCTTCCCAAATACTGGGATTAAAGGCCTGTGCCACCACCTGGCTGCCTTTTTTTTTTTTTTTTTTTGAGACAGGGTCACTCTACATAGTCCTGATTGTCTTGGAACTCACTAGCAAATGCCACCACTACACCCAGACCAGCTTCTGACTCCTTTTTATATTTTTAATTTCCAGAGTCCAGGACAGGCTCCAAAGCTACAGAGAAACCCTGAAAAAAAAAAAAAAAAAAAAAAAAAGTTGCCCAGGCTGGCCTCTAGTTTATCCTGGCCTTGAGCTCTCAATCCTCTATCTCAGCCTCAGAAGTAGCTGTGATTATAAACCTGTGCCACCAGACCTGGACATTGCTGTGTGTTCTGGCAGAAAGCAGGAAAATCCTCTAAGACTGGCTGGCCCCTTTGTCCCTGACGCTGGAGCATTCTCTACTCAGAATGCCGGAAACTAAGAACCACGGAAGGCATGCGGCCTCTGGCCTTCCATCCTTAGGTGCTGAGTTTGGTCTCTTTGGCTCTCCACAGAGCCTCAGTCCTCTTTGGCATCTGCTGAACCGCCTTTCTCGCTTCTCTCCAACCTCCCACACACCTCCTTTCTATCTTCCCTCCAAATCACCCTGAAAGTCAGTCTCCACACCATCCTAGACTTTGCCCATGAGGAGAATCTGCCGAGATTTCCTCCTTCTAAAGCTTCATCGGGATTTCTGTTTGGGTCCAGACTTTATAGGGTGCAAGCCCTAAAAGTTTTAGGAGAAAAACAGCCTTATTCTGCTGAGTAGGGAAAAGAAAACACTGTTTCTCTGTGCGGCACACACGACCACAGGCACCGCGCTGCTAGGCCCAGTCTGTCGATTTTGTTCTCCTGTTCATCCACACCTTTATTTCCACCCCTGTTCAGGTGACCTTTTTACCCCAGGGCTATACATTCTTAGCTAGCACAAATGGGAGAGGAGGGGATGGGCAGACAGTGGGTGGGCAGAGCCAGAACCAAACTGGGCCTCATTGCTTAGACTCCAGGCATCCTCTGTCCCAACCCTGACTCCATTTACCAGTGGAGGGAATAAGACTGGAGGGATAGAAAGCCAATAATGGGCAGCTCTCCCTTCTTTTTGCTCCCCCGTCCCCTCCCCCATAAAGTGTCTCTGTTTTGACAGCTGTCTCTGCTGCTGTCTCCAGAGCTGGGCTTCAGTCCAGGGTCCTCCAAGGTGTCCACGGAGCTCCAGGGAAAATGAGGCCTAGGAGGACTATCAGGACAGAGCTAGTAAAATCAGCAGAGCAGGGTCCAGAAGAACTCAGGCTTCTAGGCCTGGTGTCTGGGATGCCAGCTAGCTGAGTGTTTCACTTTCACAGTTCACCGTTCCCGTGAAGGCTTCAGGGTCTCCTCCCGCGACTCAGGACTAATCAGCCAGGTTCTGGGTGTAGTGGAGAGTGTAGCTAGACCAGGTCGGGGTCGGTATTCCCAGGGACTCAGCTTGAACCACAGCAGTAATCAGATATGTCAGTGTGGGCTCCACTCAGCAGGGGTGTAGGCAAAGCCTACTGTAGCCTGCTGAGGCCACCCTGGGACCTGAAGGAGCTCTGTAGGATGTAGCAGATGAACGGTGATCTCAGACTCCATGCTCTTCCTCCATCCTTGAAGAGCCAGGCTGAAGCACACTACAAGGGTAATCGCCATGCCCGAAGAGTCAAAGGCATCGAGGCTGCCAAGACCCGCGGCAAGGAGCCTAGTGTCCGGGAATCAGCAGACTCAGCTCCAGCAGGCAACACCCCCCCAAGTGGGGATGGTGTAGCCCCTCGTCCAGGTGTGTCTGAACACTTCACACTTCTCAACTGATCTGTCATTCTGCTCTTTCCCAATTCCCAGAACTCCCCCTCTGCTCCTCTCCTCCCTCAATCCCCACTCCCACTGACACCCAAGGTGAGTCCTGGAGCCAGGCAAAGTGATGTCAAATTCTGTCCTCTCATCCCACCCACCCCTGCCTCAGCTCTTTTCAACAAAGCCCCTACTGTCTGTCCTCTCCACTGCCCAGTGGCTCAGCACAGGCCTAGGGTGAGGCTGCCTGGCAAGTATCCCCAGGAACAGAGAGCCACCCGTCTACTCCTGATGAAGCCCCTCTGTGCTGGCCAAAGGGAATAGGGACATCAGAGCCCTACCTGGAGACTGAGGCCGTGTGCTCTGAGACTCCCAAAATGATTTTGGATGGACGTGTGGACTTCTTGGAGCCAAGTTAAGAAAGAAAAACTTGAAAATCTTTAAGGTCTTTTTCAACTTTACCAGAAGCATTTCCGCATATCTTTCCCCTCATGGCTGGTCAACCATAATTTCAAAGAACTGGGACTGAGGAAATACAGGGACAGAGAGATATCAGCCACCCCCACCCTGGGATTACCACAGATATCAGTTACAGCCAACTCCAGAAAGACCTAACATTCCCCTTGTCCTCATTTCCTCTTATTCTGGCCTGTCCTTGTTGCCCCGCCCTAAAAATAATGAGAAACAGGCCTCTATATCACCAGCTTGGGATCCAGGTCTCCACTGTAGCCACGCATATATATGCACGCGCACACATGCACGTCACACACACACTCACACACACGCGCACACCCTCTCTCATTCAAAGATGTAGGGAGCAGGCCTAATTTCTAACTGTGCTCTGGCTGCTTCTGAGTCTGACCATCTTGGGTTAGTGTATTAACACCTTTATAAAATAGGGATAAGGATGGAAAGAGCTGGTGACAGCGACAGCCAACACTTCCTGACCGCTGCTGTTGTAGATGCTTTACACATCACCTCACTGAGTCCCGGCACCCTCCCCGAGGACATGGGGTAGACATTGTATGCATACTGCCTTCATAAACATGATGTCCTGTCCAGTTTGGGATAAGGATGTGCTGTCTGGTTTGGAATGAACACAGGAGCTGAATGAGCAGGAGACACAAAGGATGGGTCATAGGATGGACAAGCACACACCTACAGGGTTTGGAACTCTTCCACCTTCTCTTACTCTCACCACAGCCTCCCCATGACCCGGAAAATGGATCACTGTTGGAGCAGGAGCGGGAGTGCTAGAGTTTCCCCTGAAGCGCAGAGGCCCAGGCTGCGCATCTCTGATCAGCCATGAATTATAGAGCAGCCTAGATCCCTGCGTCTTCCCGCTCGGGTCTTGTTTCTGTTTCCCCTGCTCTGCTTACATCTGTCTCTCCTGGCTTTCCCTCCTCCTAGCTCTGCACCTTCCTGTTGCTCCTCGGTGTTCTCCTTGAGTGTTGGAGAGGGGCTTGGGAAGGGGTTGCCCTGACAGGAATCCCAGGCTGGCCAGCAGGCCATGGTGGGATGAATCATCAGTCTCTGCACTTCCCCCTGGCTGGGAAAACTTTAGGGTAACTAAAGGTAACCAGTGGGGAGTTAGCCAGGCATTGCGATCACAACCCAGCCAGTGGCAGCTGAATGGAATTTGGCTGGGGCTCAGGGCATGAGGACATGCATGTGGTAACAGGGTGGGGACTGACTTCTGGGCCCTTACCCTTGAGGAAATGGGGGTGGATCTGCACATGAAGAGCCATTTGGGATGACCCCATGTTTCTTCCCCAACAGTTTCCATGGAGAATGGCCTGGGTCCAGCTCCAGGATCCCCAGAGAAACAGCCTGGCTCCCCATCCCCTCCCAGTGTTCCAGAGTCTGGACAGGGTGTAACCAAGGCTGAAGGGGGAACTCCAGCCCCAGCTTCCCTGCCTGGGGGTAGCAAGGAAGAGGAGGAGAAGGCTAAGCGTCTACTCTACTGTGCACTGTGCAAGGTGGCTGTGAACTCCCTCTCTCAGCTTGAGGCACATAACAAAGGTAAGGGTCCTCTAAGACCTACAGCCATCTCCTGTCCACAGCCCACCCTACCTTCCCTGCCTTCTAGCGTCTGGGTCCTCTAAGACCTACAGCCTGACTCCTTTCCCGCAGTCTCCCCTGTTCCTTACATTCACCTTCACCTTCTCCCAGACCCCCTTGTGCTTGGGAGGGGTCCAAAGGGCTCCAAATAAATCCCACACTTGCCCCATTCATTTGCACTCGCACATTATGACTGGGAAGGTGGGCAGTAGAGGCTTGGTAGACGCGGAAAAATTTACATCTGCCCTCGTCTCCTGCCGCTGTGGACCAGGTACTAAGCACAAGACAATTTTGGAGGCCCGAAGTGGACTGGGGCCCATCAAAGCTTACCCTCGGCTGGGGCCTCCCACTCCTGGGGAACCAGAGGCTCCTTCCCAGGACCGAACCTTCCACTGTGAGATTTGCAACGTCAAGGTCAATTCGGAGGTCCAGCTGAAACAAGTGAGTCCTACACCCATCCCAGGATGTCTGAAGAATTTGACCCACTAAAGGGAAGGGAGCTTGGGTAAGGGCCACTCAGAAGGAAATATGGCCTTAGCTGTGGCCCTGCCTGTGGGGGTTACTCTTGGCTAAAAGCTCATAGCCCCACTACCCACTGCATCGCAGCACATCTCCAGCAGGAGGCACCGAGACGGCGTGGCCGGGAAGCCCAACCCTCTACTGAGCCGTCACAAGAAGCCTAGGGGCGCTGCGGAGCTGGCGGTGAGGCCTGGATACTGGGGAGTTGGGGGACCCATAAGAGTTGGAAAGGGACCTGGGCAAGCCAGCAGAGGTTGGGCTTGCCGGACCACTGACCCGACCTCTGTCTCCCTCTCTGCCTGCTGCAGGGCACGCTGACTTTCTCCAAGGAGCTGCCGAAGTCCCTGGCCGGTGGCCTGCTCCCCAGCCCCCTGGCGGTGGCTGCTGTGATGGCCGCTGCAGCAGGCTCCCCGCTGTCCCTGCGTCCAGCTCCGGCCGCACCTCTTCTGCAGGGACCACCGATCACACATCCTCTACTCCACCCGGCCCCGGGACCCATCCGAACTGCGCACGGACCCATCCTCTTCTCCCCTTACTGACCTCAACCCTGAACCACTCCCATTGAATTCCCCCACCTCCAGCCGGGACCCAGGCCTTCGGGCTCCCAGCCCGCCCCTCCTCCTGGCGCTCCCTGAATGGTCTGTCCTTCCCCCCACCCCGAGGTACGGGGTTCCAGGAAAGGGGAGGGGTAGCGGGGGAGGGGGGCTTAAGAAGGGGGGGAACACCCCAGATCTCAGGGAACCCCGCCCCCTGTCCTTCCCTCTCCCCTAGAAAAGAGGGGGTCCGTCTCACCCCCGAGCCCCCTCGGAGACACCCCCTCCCAAAAGCCATGTTCATCCAACCCTTCCCCTCCAAACCTAGCACAAAACGGGGTTCACAAGCCATGGTCGGGCCCGGGGGGAGAACATGGATTTTCTTGGCAATAAGCGGACTCTGGGACTCCGGCCCCCACCCCAACTAAAGCGCTTCCTCCGCAGGGGGAGGGGAGCAGGCGGGATCCTGGGTCCCTCATAAGCACTTTGGTTTTACCGCCTGCAACCTCACTGTGCCCGCCCCGCACCATGCCCCATCCCAGGTCCAGTCGGGCCCATAGCAGGGGCAGCAAGCACTTGGGGGCGTCTCAGGCACTTGGGTGGGACCAAGGAGATGCCCTCACAGACCCTTCCCCTCACCTTCTTACTTCCCAGTCCGGGTTCCATTCTTTTCACCAGCACCCATCGCCCAAGGGGTATCAAGGGGGGCAAGGGGTGTCCAGTCCAAGCCCACCCTCGCCTCGCCTTCCGCAAAACTGTGAGCAAAAAGCAATAGAAGCCTCGCCCCCGCCTCGCCCCACCCCTTTCCGCAGGATTTGCCGTCTGTAGCCTCCCTGATCCCAATCCCTAGACCTCATGGCTGCCACCTCCCGTGACACTTCCTCTGCACAACTCGGGCGGGGGCGTGACCCCCAACCTGTCCCTTCTGTGGTTTCTGTGTGGTCAGCCCTTCCAGCGCCGACCTGGGATGGGGACTGGCCCCCACTGGCCCTCCCCTCCCTATGGACTCTTTCTGCTTGACAATGTAGCAACCCCGCGCCCACTCCACCTCCACCCTCCCCTTTTCCTTCTACTTGAAAATAAAGTCTGGATTCGTTTTGCCCTCTGCGCCCAGTTCTCAGACTGTACTTGTTTTGGGTGCAAATCGCTTGGAAGGTGTGTCTTAGGGTGAGAAAGCCCAACACCCTAGAAGGGGGACGGGAAAACGAGATTGGGAAGTGGTTGTGTAAAGCCAGGAGAAAGGGGGGGG